GTACATTAGCACTGCTGACATCTCTATGTAGTATAGGATGAGGCTTGAAGAGATGAAGGTAATTGAGAGCACAGGCTACATCTAAACTGATGCTCAGTATCGCAGGATAGGCCACTCCTCCACTCTCTAATTCCTTTCTTAGGCTCGTCGGCATTAGTTCTGTCAGGATGATTGGATTACCCTCTGTAGTCGCTCCTATGAACTGAAGGAGGTTAGGATGACGTATTTTAGAAGCAATATTCATTTCCCGAGAGAATGTCCCAATGTTATAAGGAGAGATGATGACTTCGTAGAGACACTTTGCAGCAACCTTCAGACCACGAAAATCAGCTACTTTCACCTCTCCCCATCCTCCTTTACCAAGGACTACCTCTGTCATTGTAATCTCTCTTCTATTCACTACCCAGGAAGACTCTGCCACATGTATCTGCTCTTCAAGTTGTCTCTCTCTTTCTTGGAACTCTCTCTCTCTTTCCTCAAGCTGTTGCTCTCTTTCTTGAAGCTGTTGTTGAAGATCCTGTTCTCTTTGCTGGCCACCTTCTACTTGCCTTTGAAGCTGTCGCTCTCTTTCTTGAGATTCTCTCTCTCTTGATTGAAGTTGCTGATCCCTTTCTTGAAGCTGTTGTTGGTACTCTTGAAGTTGTTGCTGTGCTTGCCTCTCCTTTTCCTGAAGCAGTCGTTGAAGATCCTGGACTTGTTCCCTGGCCTGCCTCTCTCCTTCTTGTCCTTGTTGCTGTGCTTGTTGAAGTTGTCGTTCTCTTCCTTCAAGTTGTTGCTGTAGTCTGTTTCTAACTTGTTCCTTTTCTCTTCTTTCCTCCTCTAGTTCCCTTTCCCTTTCTTGTAGTACACGTGTCAGACGGTCTATTTCTCTTCTATCCTCAGGTTGAACAGGTTGAGATGCTTCCCATTCTCTTCTCCTTTCTTGTAGTTTCTCTTGATACTGGTCCAGAGGTATTATACTAGTAGACCAATCATTATTACTAGTATATCCTATACAGTAACACAATAGTTGAATTAATGACAAGTACTGTACATGTATTATAATGATACTGTATACCGTACTATACCGGTTTATTTTCGTGGTAAAATATTTTTGCAAAATTTGCGTCTTTTGCTCTGTCACAAAAATTTTCCACCACAAAATTCTGAATCTTCATTGCTATGTGGTGCAGCCTGCAAGCTATTCGAGAACATTAATTCCAAAA